TAAAAATTGCGTGCATCCGAGAAACGGCAACAAAATTCAGTACCCTAAAAATGTCCATAGATGACACTTTAAAGGCCCCCACAGGTCATCCGTTTAGGGATACACGTAAATATTGGCCCTAGAATTATTGCTCTCACTCTGACGTGCATGGCGATACTGAACATGTGTAGCGCGAGCATCGTTTTCATACGTAGGCGCAACCAACACGTTTACATGAATGCATGCGTGCTCACGGCGGCGGAGGGACTTCTAAAAACATTTCTTTTTACTTTTACATTTGTTGGTCTTTACTTTAATTGCTATCACATAGGGGGGCTTATGAGCCCCCCATGGCTCGTTGGTCTAAACCTGTGAGTTGTATGGGTCTAATGATTATACAGATGCGCAGAGAACTCTGGTAAGGATGCTGGGATGCAGATCCAAGGGGCACCTAAATCTCTTGATCTTTGAGGGAACCTGTCAGAGAGCTGTCATGGAATATAAACAAATGGGTGGAAAAATTCCCATGATGTCACAACTCGCTCCACCCCTTTGTTGACATTTGGGTCAGAGCTGTCATTTTGCGGCCAGTATTCGTCGGGATCGGATGTGTCAGCGAGTTTGTGAAATGTTTTCTTTTAGCGAGTCGGCGGCCATCGCCTATAGTGATTGACATGGATCTACATTGCTGGACGACGTAATTGACCTGTGAATTACATCATGTTTTTTAATAAGTGTTTTGTTTTTTTTGTAACACATCTCACCAGTTTATAATTGGGTTCTAATTTTCCTTTCCTGCCTTCCCTTATTAGGGTGTTTTCTATGCACCTTCACCTTGAGTCATGTGGACTTCGTGGGATTGAATCTTGGGTTCCCTGCTGGACTTAGGAGTCATTTTCACACCCTTTGCAGGTTGTATTTCTAGTCAATTGAGGGTTCTTCCCTGGTGAGACTCACTTTAGCGAGGTCATTGTCTATTCTGACAAGGTCTTGAGGTATACAGTAACCCTTTTTGACCAATATGGGGGTCAGCTGAGTAGGGGCATAGGGCCCTGCTTCTAGACTGGCTGGTCTTGTCCTACAAGGCTTGTTTCCCAGGTCCCTTGTCTGATACCCATTTCTATCAGCTTCTCTCTGAAGTTTGTACACCCACTGGGGGGAATTCATAAAAAAATGGAGCAAACAAAAATTTATTTTTGTTACACCCCTTGGTGGCTTTAGGTTGACCAGCTTCTCACTTGGTCTATGGCTCAGTGCTGCATTCTGGGTCTTTCCTCTCTGGTTGGCGACCTTTAGTTCTTGCCGTCAAGAATCAGGTTGATTCCCCGGGTTTTCCCTCTGATCATGCTGGCAAGGTTTCCCTATCAGGCAGGGGGTATGGCTAAATTCAGTGTCAGTTTGGCCATTTCAGTTTTCTCTTAGGCCCTACAAAACAGAACTAGGTTCTGCCTGCACCATGTTGCTGCCTTGCTGTTTGCCCAACCCCAGAGTTAAACTCTTGGCACGCTTGATACAAGCTGAGACATGCTACTTAAAGAAGGGGTTATCCTGGGCTGGCCTACAGATTTTTTTTTTTCCCAGGGTCCAATCCTTTTTTAGGCGGCAGTATAATCCTACAGTATATGACCTCCTGTGTCCCTCAATAGAACCCATTAAAGGATCTTGCAGTAAGCACAAAAATCCTATTATTTGGTACATCCCTGAAATGCAAGCAGATTTCCCTATGTTTTAGCCTTTTAAAAACATTGCAAGTACGGAAGAATATCTGTTGATCTGCCAGAAACGTTGTGCTCCTAACTTATTGTTACTGAAAGGACAACACAGTGCCTTTTCTGCAATAATAACAAAATAGCATTGTCAACCCTACCTATTGGACTACAGGAACTCCCCCTAACCCCACCCCTCTCTGTCCAACTTCACATGCATACATTGACTTCTTCCCAGCAAGACCCTGCTCACACACTGTGTGAAGGAAAAGGGCTCTTGGTAAATGTAGCTCTGGTGGGCTTCTCTATTTCAGTGGGAAACTAGCCCCCATCAGTTTCTCATGCAATAACTTTACAAGCCTGTAAATGATGTCCCGGAGTAGTAAAATCTGATTCTCGTGACAGAAACAACATGAAAGAATAAACTAATGCTAGGACATGTTCTAGTGGAGGAGATTTGGGTAAGTCCCGGGCATACCCTTCAGTGCACTATAGCTTGCGTTACTAGATGTGTGCACTTCATCACACCTTCAGATCATTGTGTAATAATACTGAAAAAAGAAGCAAGGTAAACTCCAGATGGATGTCTCTGCGGATTAACCCTCACGTTATAGTTTATTGCTCTCACTTGCATATTTGGAACTGAAGGATGAACCCCTCAATCAGACATACAGGAAAAAAAAAAATAAACTGATGGGTTTTAATGCTTCCCTATTCTATCCAGAACAAGAAAAAGTTTTGTCTATGTAACATTTTTTATATTACAAAACGCTTTTTTCTAAATAAATACTAATTTTTTAATTCTCTGAACTGCATTTCTTAATTAGGTAATTAAGTTATGCTATTGCTATGAAACCATAGAATGTAGACTAGGACCTTATATACAGGTGAAACTCGAATAATTAGAATATTGTGCAAAAGTAATGGCAGTAAGTGATGTAAAATGGGCCCAAACCAAGTACTGAGTACATATGCATGCTTGTACTTTTCAGAGGTCCGATATTGTTCTATGTACAATCCTTGTTTTATTGATTGCATGTAATAATCTACTTTTTTGAGGTTGTGGATTTGGGGTTCTTGGGGTTTTCATGAGCTGTAAGCCATAATCATCACAATTATGACAAATCACGGCTTGAATTATCTTGCTTTGCATGTAATGAGTCTATCTCATATATTAGTTTCACCTTTTAAGTTGCATTAGTGAAATAAATGAACTTTGCACGATATTCGAATTATTCGAGTTTCACCTGTATAACTTTACCAGGGGAGGGCAAGTGCTGGAAAATAGATGGGCCATAGTCTACATTAGAGCCTGACAAGTAAAGCAGAATGGGTACAGATGATTCATCTTCTGTAAAGAGACGTCTTAGGCATCAAGGAACAAAACCCACAATCATTTTTTTTTTCTTTATTTTTTTTTTTCTACGCTGTAGTTGGAGACGGCAACATACAGATCATCCTGATTTTATCAGTAATACCAACTACATGAAAATAAATGTAGGACACAAAAAAAGCATTTAAAAAGACTTCTATGAATGTTGTATTTTGACTAGAATGTCTTCATTTAGTATGTTCCAAAACCTCTGTGAAGTTCTTTTGTATGCACAAGGCTTGAGATGAAATTAAAGGGTTTCTAAACCCTCAGCTTTTTTGCATAGATCTACTGCTAGCAAGCAGTAGATCTGTGCAAAAGGTTTTTTTCTTAAAACGCTTTAACAGTGGTTTAAACTTGCCTGTATCTTCCCTGCGTGCTCCCGTCCGAAAATGTGAAACTGCTTGGGCGGCCGCAAAGCATCTTGGAGCGGGCGCATGCGCAGTTCACATTTTCGGCCGGGACCCAAGGAGAGGCAAGGTAAGTCTATGGACGCGTGCACCCGCATGCAGACACCTTGGGAGAGGAAGCGCCAGCAATCACAGAGGAGTCAGCGCTGGATCGGAGACTCGCCGCAGTGCTGGAGAGAAGGCTGAAAACGATAGGAAAGAAGATGATTGGATTAAGAGACATAATTTATGGAAATGCTTTCATTAACGTTGTGTTGAGGCAAAAACATTTTTGCCTTTAATGTCATTTTAAGGGACTCTGAAAAGCTTTTCCTATTGGTACTGATAAACGCCTCAAACACCTGCTGGCACGGAGGCCTTCTTGATATCAAAGTCTTACCCACCTTTGAAGATACAGGGGAAAGTGAGGCGATTAATAATCTGCAATGCTTCTCTCGTACTCACAAGAATGGATGACAACTGGAGGGTCGCAGTCAGAGTGAAAATGTTTCATGGTGCCCCCTCAGCGGACCACCTGAGACAAAATTCTCAGCCTTGGATAATCTTTGTTTAAAGCAATATTCACAATCTTGCTCTAGTAATTTTCAGCCCTCCTCTATCCCCTCTGCATTTGTGGGTTAGATGAACTCAAGACAATACAGGCAGAGGTTGGAGAAGGTCTAGAACAGGGGTGCCCAACATTTTTTGTGTTGAGATCTACTTTTCAAATGACGAGCTACATGAGATCTACCTGATACATGAGCTACATGAGAACGAAAAAAAACCTCCCTCCCTCTCTCTCCTGGCTGACTCTCCTTGCTCTCTCTCCTGGCTCTCTCCTCTCTCTCTCTTCCGTCTGTCTCTCCTTGCTCTCTCTCCCGTCTGTGTCTCCCCGCTCTCTCTCCTGACTCACCTTGCTGTATTTGGCAAACAGTGTAGTACAACAGGCTGTGTAAACTAATATTCTTTGATGTAATACATAGCACTTCATCCACCAGAAAGGTGTCAGGGAGCTTTGCTCAGCAGACTCCAGGTAATGGGTAATCATGTGTGCACAGCTAAATAAATATACCAAAATGGAATAAAGGGGCCACCATTCACACCCTTCCTGATCTACCAGCATCAGCTTTGAGAGCTACTGGTAGATCACGATCTACCTAATGGGCACCCCTGGTCTCGAACAAGACTAACTTGGTGGCAGGTAGAAGAGTGATGTTAACACTCCAGGTTCATCATGTTCCTCTTTTCAAAGAAGTAAAATGCACATAGGTGAGTCAGTCCCCGTATAACTCTTCCAGTAGCTATATTTTTAGCACCTGAATTTTCCACGCCCAGTTGTCACCTTCATAAAGTAGCACTGCAGAATTTTTCAGTTGTTTAATGATCATACAGTGTACACATTCAAGAGATGCCAGAACATACCTTCCGCCCCCTTTAAGTGTTTCCTGGTGGTAGAAAAAAATACGTTTTGGCTAGAGTTCCTTCTTAATTCAAAAGCCTTATTTCTGATCATTGTAGAAATATATTTTTTTTAATCATTTACTGGTTTATATAGGTCGGTAGCAACACAACGATGATAGTCAGAGATTAGTCCCTTTCATAGTATCTCCCATACAATGCTGCCGTCACTAATCCCAGATCCATTGCCCCTTGTCTCATGTAACAGATATTGTCCTTCCAGCCCCAGTGGTCAGGTAACTGTAACTTGACTCCTGACGTAACAATCATGGGGAATACATACTTAGTGCTGAAACTGCCCCAAAGTCGAAAGGTCAAGACACTACTTGCATCAGTCACTTCCTGTCCGCACATTGTCCTATTCAGACCACCACATTTTACCAGGGCACAAATCTGAAGGGAGTACTGGCCATGAACAGTGTGCAGACCATCAAATACCCCCAGAGCATACAGCTCATTGGAGGCATTCTGCTTACGATAGGTCACATAGCAGCAGAGTGTGCCAGCACACACGTGTACTGTTCCTTCATTTGTATTCAGGGGAACAAAAGTGAAGTTATCATACATCATCTCTGCATGAAATGAAGTATCATCCCCTGGTGATCCTCCACAATGTTTTTTTCTGTCTTCTGAGTCACAGGTCTGAAAACTAGTATGGATGACATTGCCTTCCGATGTCTCACTCTTCACAAATGACACACTGTCTTCATCTTCTGGACCCATTTCTTCTAAAGGATCCACTGGAACATTAGTAATGATCAGCTGGCCATTTTCGCTGTCCATGTCATAGTGGTATGAAGAGCTTATTGGACTAAATATTCCACTTCCAGTCATACCCAAAGTTGTGTGGTGGATGTTAGCTGCTAGGATATTAACATTGAACCTGGTGGCAAAGGCTCTCTGAATCTGAATGGAAGAAAGAAGCGGCAATTGGTTCATCCAAGCTGTTGGGTGCACGAGGTGCTTCACTTGATGCTTTTCAATAAGAGTCATAACTGGTTCATAAAATAGGATATCAAAGCACGTAAAGAGGCCAAACCTGGCAAAGGAGGTATTAAATATGACGTGTTGGACATGTGGAGGTGTGTCAAAACCATATTCGAAATACAGATTTTGTTTAAAATAGCTGGCTATCAGTGTGCCATTGTCACTAAACACAACATCCGTGTTAAAGTGGTACCGCCCATCAGGAGGGCACATAGGGTCCACATGCTCACAGAGCACTTTAGTTCCTAGGTTTGCCACCACAACCATTCTTCCTCCCTGTGCCATGCAACTGAGCCGCTGGAGAACCTGGATGAGATAGAGGATAAAAGTACATTACAAAAACCAATAGTCTGTCAGGAATGTGTGTATTATGCTATGCGATAATCTGGGAAATAGTTTACCTAAAAAAACTAGATAAAATACATAATTTTCTGCTCTAATATAACATCCTATGATATTCTGAAAGATTGACCCAATTGTCATTAACAGTACATATGGATGACTTCAGACTACAGTACTGTAGTTATCCTTGGCCAGAGGATGTCGGAATGTAGAGCCTAGCATCTGGTTAGATTCTTATGGTCAATGTTACTGTTCTCTGTGATAATACAGGTGCTGAAGATGGATGGACATGGATGCAAAATCCAACCATCTTACAATGCTTTTCTGCAGTGCTCAAGTTGCAAATGTATATATTGATTAGGGCAATAGAAGAAATGATCAGAAGAAAGAGCAGGGCCCAGGGAAATGGTAATGATCAGACACGGTTTTCACAACTGTTCTGTTGCCTAGAAACGTTGCCAAAAACATTGCACCCGGAGACTATGATCTAGAGCAGCATTTCTCAAACTTTTTTGAGTCAAGGCACACTTTTAAAATATGCAAAATCTCACAGCACCCCAGTAAGTAACCATGTCATACTTTTTTGCTTTGCAGCAGGATGCAATCAAGAACAACTACCTGGCAGCCCGCTGTGACCATAAAACTGAATGAAATGTACAAAAAGTACATAGTGCAATGTACCAGGATTAGGGCATTGGCACTGTCAGGCACTGCGCCAATCTGGGTGTGATCTGGGCCTAAATGTTAGCATTACCTTGTACCTGTGAGCAATATCTAAGGCTACTACTTATATGCAGTGCAGTTGAAAAAAGTAGTGTACGCACTCCTTTTTTTGAGCTGCACTGCACGGTTTTGCAGTACCGTGTGTTGTGGCCCGGTTGAGTGCATTGCAATACACCTGCCACACTAACGCAAGATGGGTGCATCGCACAGAACCATGCGATTAACACATGGCCTTGGTGTGAACTGGCACATAATTTGAAGGGAAGAATTGAAACTGCGCAGCCCCAAAGTGTCAGTGCCCAAAATGTTAATTACCAAGAATGTGGATCGAGCACAGCGTTACTCTGTTCCCACATCTCCCCTGCTCATTTGCAGTATCCAAATCTTAAGCTGTGGTTGCTGACAAATGTCTTTAGTGACCGATGATGTCATCGGTTGCTAGGGATTGGGCGGGTGCCTTGCGAGATGTCTGCTCACTCCCTAGCAACCAACGACTTAATTGAATGTTGACAGCTAGCACAGCAATCATTGCCAGCTCTCCCCCTGGCCGCGTAGCACAAGCTACTACCCAGTGAAAGACAGCTTCAAAGCAATTGATTATGTCATTGGTAGCTAAAGATGCTGTCGGTGGCCATTGATTAAGATTTTGATAGTGCAAGTGAGCAGGGGAGATGTGGGAATGGATGGACGCTGTGCTTGATGCACATTCTTGGGCGCTGACACTTTTAGCACTGACACTATAGGCATTGCTGTTTCAATGTTTTCCCTGATGAGCTGAGCGGACACCAGTGTGCTGAGGCATCCTGGTTGAGAAGCACTGATCTAGAGGTACCTTAACCACTTGAAGGCCATAGTGTACCTTAACCACTTGAAGGCCAAGGACAGGACGTCTTAAGACGCCCTCCCGCTCTGAGCAGACGTCCATCTGGCCGTTCACAAACGGCCATGGACGTAAGGTAGTTAAAGCTCAACTCCAGCCTTATCTTCGGTTTTGCGAAGTGGAAATGGCTCTTTTCCTGTACTGAAATTGCTTACTCTGAAGTAAGTGCACACTGTGAGCTTCTCCCGCTGTGCACTAGAATCTGCAGCAAATCAGATAAAGCCTCATTTCCATGCATGGAGGAAGTACAGCATCATCTAACCTTTCCTACTCAGCCTTTCTGTCTTCGCTCCACCCCTTTTCTTTTATTGCATTTCAGGTTTTTCCAATCATAAACCCCCCAGTGGTGCAGGGCAGAAGTGCCAATCACTGTGCTGCCCATGTACTAAAAAATAATAAACCTATACCAAGTTATGGGGCCACTGAACCTGTGCTAGGAATATACATCCTGCTTATGTGTGTTGGCCCAAATCAATAAGCATAATGACAACTGAACTATAGGTCCAAAAGCCTCGCATGATGAAATGAAGAAAAAAAAAAAAAAAGACACCTAAACGATGTTGGCATTCAAGAAAAAGCACCAAAGATCCTTTCAGTGAATATAAGAGCTTTTATGTATCTCTTTTATCTGCGCTTACTTAAACCAACAGCACAGACTCGACATCTAATTAAATTTGTTGAGCTTGTAAAGTACTTTGTCCTTTTGATGCTGATAATGATATCAGCAAGCATGTTGTTACTAAATCAAAGCATCTGAAGTGTGTTTACAGCCTGTACAATATCAGCCTTTTATATTGGTCTACATATTTGGTGACAAAGGATGGTTTCCTACAGTTCCTAGGAGAAAACATTAATGACAGGCAAGGTTTACCCTATAAACTGGAAACATACAGGGGAAGGGTTGGCCTTCATTCTGCCTTTATTTATCATCCTGATGATGCTTCCAAGCCATTGTCCTTTGAAGTGTTATGTTGCTCTATAGGTGCCTACAGATAGGAGATAAAGCTGGGTGCATGCGGTTATATTTTTTTCATTCAGCCAGATTTCCCTGTGTTCCTTTATATTCTGACAGTGGCCCCTGGCTGATGTCAGAATACCCGAACAGCGCTTGCAGCTGACTGGTTGCAAAAAGTTGATCTAAACATTGACTTCTGTTGAGGGAAGAGGGCCACTAACGGATAACATTTCAGACAATTGCTACTGAATCCGCCAAGATTTGCTCCATCTGGGCCCAACTTTACGGTCTTAAATCCATAAGCAGATACCTACACGGCCATCAGATGCTGTAAAGTGGAATGAACGTTCAGACAAGTCTCAATTGTTCCTACTGATAAACCAGCACTGGCACTATTCTATGGTATGTTGTTCACTCCCTACCCTAAAGAACAAAGTTAACAAGTTTCTGGAATACTCTTGTGCTCTGAAGATATCTTACCCCAAGGGAGGTTGAGGCATGTCTGGCCACCCTCTACATCAGCAACTGGCCATTACCACCAGTCTCTAAAGTCTATGCCCAGCTTAAGACTTCACATCTCTGAGGCTGCAATATTGCAAATTACACTCAATGGAGTCACAATAAAAACACATGAGCAGCAGATATACCTTGCATGTTTTTTTTTTATATGGCACGTACAAGGACCACATGGTCCTAGTTAGTCACCCCTGATCCATCCCCATTGCAGTCTACTGACAGCATAATTTGCCCAAAGTCAAAGACAGAGGAAATTCACACAGAGCAGAGTGACTGGCAAGAGGCTGCAGCCCCACTCAGTGAAACTCTAAAAACCTTGCTCAACTTCAAGGAATCACTGGAAAATAGCAGCTTACCAAGTGACTTCACATCTCATTCAAACAAAATATATACAGGCAGTCCCCGAGTTACAAACATACAACTTTTACATACAACCCCTACTTACAAATGGAGGCTATTACTGTACAGCAGGGGTAGTTGTAATGCTACCGCGCTTGTGCTGATGAGGAGTGCTCGCCTTTTTGGTTCTGGTTCGTTGTGCTGTACGTACATTACAGGAAGTTGGCTCTTGTTAGACATGCAGACAAGGGGTGCCCACCTCTTCCGGGGTCACTGAGGTTTTTACTGCTGTCTGTATCCTCATTAGAAAGATTTAATCTCACTTCCTGTCCTTGAGACACCAGGAAGTGAGAGGAAAGCTACCCCTAAGAATGGAAATTCCCTCCTGTAAGAGTGATCATTGGAAAAAGGTGTCTCCATTGAACCTTTATCACCAATCCTTGTTTCCTCGACAACCCAAAATTTTGAAAATCCAATTCTCACAGGGACATAAAGTGAGGTGAAATCTTCTGAACAGGGGCACACACACAGCAAAACAAACATTACAGGGGGTTAACCCTTCCCTATGCTATCCAATACTAAAAAAAACATTTTTGGCTGGAGTCACACTTAAAAAAATTTACCTGTTCCAACTTACATACAAATTCAACTTAAGAACAAACATACAGTCCCTATCTTGTTTGTAACCCGAGGACTGCCTGTAGTCTATGTTGCTTCTAACATACAGTTTACGGCTGTCACCTTTATCTTTTTTTAAAGAAGATTCAAAAAGCTTTGTAACCATGAATCTAGTCATCTGAGAAGGAATTTACTCTTCTTAAAGCGCAGAGCAGCCATAAAAACACATGTTCCATTATTCTGCCATTCTTGGCTGGAAAGCACAAACGGGAGCCAGGAATAGAGCAAAGAGCAAACACACTGCAACTCATTTATATGAACTAGAGAAAAGACAGAGGGAGAGGGGTCCGCTGCATACAGTCAGTCCCAGCTGTCATTGCTGGAGTGCAGGAAACAATATGTAACACAAGATTATCTGTTATGGTCAACATTCCTACTTTTCCTTTATTCCAAACAGAGAAATATGTGGAATGACACATTTCTAACCTTTTTGCCTGGCTGTCATGCTGATCCAATGGTTCAACACTTTCCAAGTCACTGATGTGAAAACACGTAAAGTGGTATAAAAGGCTTGTGTTTGTTTATTGTTTAAATATATTTACTGCTAGCAAGCAGCAGAGCATGCCACAAGGTTTAAAATAGTTTAAAAGTGCACAAACAATTCATAATTTACCTGTGCCGCTTGCTCCCAGCTGCAGGACACAGCTTCCCGAATGGCCGAGCAGGAGGATGTGTGAGCGGGCACATGCGCACTTGATATTACCGGAGGGGAGAGGAGTGACACAATGTCAGTGAATGTACGCATGTGGCAGCGTGCACGCAGGACAGACTCTGTGAGACACTGAAAGAAACAGGAGCCAGTGCTGAGGGGATAGTTCAAAACGACTGGAGGGAAGGAGATGTTCGCATCAAGAGGCACACAAGATAAGTACTTACAACAGCATTGGGGCGGAGTGGAAAGAAAGCCTTTAATGTCACTTTAAGCAGATCAGAAGTCCCGACTTCTCTCTGGCTTCACTTCTTGCATGCTTGTTGCAGGTCAGGGAAATGCTGAAGCCATAGACAGCCAGGCAACTAGGATTTTACAAAAGGTGGTCAGAGCCAATGTTTTGCTCTGTGCACAGGTTTCCTTTCCATTCTACCTGTGCACAGTGGAGAGGCATTTTGTGAGGCCAGTCAATACAAATCAGCTTATGCCATAAATCGCCATCAATTTCTATTTTTTTTTCAAGGAACAGATATCAGATTGTCTTAAAAAATGTGCAGATGAGAGGCCAAATCATATTTAAATCTATACTGACTGGATAAAGAAGTAGTTTGACCATAATAACTGTCAGTGCTCAGGGCCTATAAAGGGTACACTGTGAATCCGAGCCATCCATCTTATTTTGATAAAAACTAGAGGAATAGAAAACCCAGTTGTTTCCTATAGCAGCCAATCAAACCATCCCAATAGATGTGAATGGTGGATGCAGATACTAACATACAATATTTATAAACCAACTCTATTGTCAATGGTAGAGATGTATTGGAGCTTTGTTTGGCACTAGATTTCTCTTCTACTGTAAAGCATTGATTTTATTCTGTTTCCTCACAGAAGAGCAGGGAGACTGTGTGACTGCCCTCACCTCCGTATCCTGGAACTTGTCTGGCTCCGAACATGGATTCCATGGCAGTAAATGGGAAGGAGGGAGGAAATCCAGGTATGGGTAAATGGACATCCTGCTGTAGTTAAAGCCGTGGATTCCATCTTCGGGAAAGACGATGATTTGGACACCCTGGAACCACAGAACGGAAACAATAATAACCAGATTATAATATAGATGCAGCATGGACATTTAGGAATAACCCAGAGCTTTTTGCTTTACTATGGAGTCATGCAGTTCATACTGAGGAACTAAATGGTATAGATATAAGATGACTGTATTGAAAATACCAACCGCACCCTCCCTCAGAAAAGGTTTTACAGTTCAAGATTTTTCAGCCCGTTATGGATTAGTACCCCTGAAAACATTGACATACTTGTTAAATACAATGGCACATGTTTATGTGTCTGGTTTATATTTTTTATTAGCTGCTTTAATTCCTGCTGTTGGACTATTATCTGCTATTGTAAAGGGTAGGCATACAGAGGATGGAAATACCACAAACAAACATGACAACCTGAAACAATATTTTGTGAAAAAAGAGGAAGCAGAGGATGATGAGAAACTAATATCAGAAGAAGATGCAGTGTTTTAGAAGGTTTTGGGTCATCAGCTATGCACCTCCACTGATACCACCGTGATGATACTCATTGGGGGGATGATGGGAGTATTGCCAGCATGCACAAAATAGTGAGTATACATGTCTGGTGAAGGGAAGGGTCAGTGTGATCATTATATACAAATGTTCATATTTGTCCCTGTGTGGCCAGGCCAAGGGTAGCTTAATTAACTAGAATGTCCCACCCCTCTATTGTACCACATTGATGAGAACGATGAAAGCACAATGCTGAAGTGACCCAAGCTAAAGCTACTTACCTCACCATGATGCCATTTGTTTCTCTCCAACACACTACACCATGAAGGAATTTCCCTTCACCATTACGGCAAGAATTATTACAACAGGATTTGTATCGCTTATTCCTATGCGGTTTAGTGAGGGACGGAAGCACTGGTTAGGAGGCCTCGGCCCAGAGCATGGTTTAAACATTAGTGTTTTTGCGTAAGTTTTTCTTTCTATGGTCAGGAGTTGATATACAATTTTTATAAATATTTGAAAACTTTTTTTAAGTACAGTATATTTGAAAATTCCTATTCAGAATATTTAGATTTACCATTTAACAGCCACCAAATGGAGCTCTATTTAGGTTATGTTTACATGCATACCAGGTTAAATTGAACTGCTTTACTGAAAAAAAGGTCAGTTTACAGGGCTCAATAGCTCAAACTCAGATAACACACACACACACCTGAATCATCAGAAACGTGATCTATCCCCCTTCCTCTCTCACTGCTCTGCACAGCACTGTAAAGATTTTCAATTAAAAAGAGTGACAGTCTGAAAGCAAGAGGCTTCTGCTGTTCTCTCTCTTAAAGAAAATTCCGTCTCACCAGTACCATAGATGTGCCCTGTATTCATTTTTTTTTAAGATATAAAATATAATTGTAAAAATCTAACATCCATTCCTGACCAGGAAACAAACTAAAAGATAGCACACGTTTACCAACACTGCAATAGCTTCAACAGCAATTCACAAACACAATACAAAAATGATTTATAAAAATCACGCTCTGCGAAGCATCATATGAGGAAAACTGGACTAGTTGTTCTATTTGTGTCACAGCTGAGTTTATCATTCTGATGCTTTTCTTTGTGCAATCATCATTTCTTTTACTGGATGGGAACTGTGCTCTGCTTCTGTTGATGACAAACATTTAACATTTTAGTTGGGCTGATAGCACTGTGTACAACATGCCCACATCAAACTTCCAAGAAAACAGAGACTATCAGTATTATGAGCCAATTAGAGAGAAGGCATGTCAAATTTGATGTGGCAATTTCCAATGTCAAACCAATAAATGCTAACATACCGACAGATATTGTAAACCACACCCATTTTAAAGTTGTGCCAATGGGAATGCAAAAGCAGCCAAAACAACGCATGTCAGAAGTGGCTCCAAAGGAAACATTTCAAACACATGTAAAATGAAAGCTGATGCGCAAGGATGATGCACCTGTCTGTCTACAAAGGCTCTAAGGCAGGACTAGACAAATCCCAGGCGCCAGATCGCCACAGCAACTAGAAATTGCGTCCAGGCGCCTGTGGCGTCTCAGTATACCACAAGCTGTAGCTCACGGTATACTGAGCTTAGGGTGACGGTAGGACGTTAGTTTGTGTCCTCCCGTTACCCTAAGTAGAACTATGGGGAAAAGCATTAACCCCATAGTTCTCCTTTAAGTGTTTTTTCTCATTCAGCCTGCAACAACATGGATTTTTCAACATTAAAACACACTACAGAAAGCTAATGACATGCAGTTGTTAGACTAGGGATGCACCGATACAATTTTTTCCAGGCCGAGTACGAAGACCGATAATTTGCTCAAGTGCTTGTCAATACCAATACCTTTTTTTTTTTTTTTAGTGTCGATAAAACAATAGAGACTTATGATTTTAGGACCATAGCGGAGCACCAGGGTTGGACGTTCTCCGATCTGCTCCCCACTTTCAATCCTGAATTCATTTGCCATGATCCCGGGTCCCCCAAAAAGACAGGAGACCCTGAAAACTACAGTGGGGAGTTAGGGCGGGAACACACAGGCTGCTACAAATGATCCAGGAGGCTGCACAGCTGCTCAGATATCTTGTACAAAACAAGCGGCAGGTCCCCAGCAAGGCTAAATGTAGGGGAACAAAACCCACCTGCCCGGCCCCCAGAGGTTTATGTCCTGGATGTCGGGAGATAGGAATTGCACACCCCTGTACAATTTTTGGATCCCAACAGATGGAGGGGTTTTCATTTTAATGTTAAAAACATAACACCCTTCAAATTTCAAAAGGTATTTATTATCCAAAAATAAACCAACCTACTGCAGGCCACATCTACCGTGTTTCCCCGAAAGTAAGACCTACCCCGAAAGTAAGACCTAGCGCTATCTTCAGGGATTTCTGTAATATAAGACCTACCCCGAAAATAAGACCTAGTTCTTAGGTCTAGTTCTTAAGTTCAACCTCGTCCAGTCCTCCCCCAGCCAGGTAAGACATCCCCCGAAAATAAGACCTAGTGTCTTTTTTCGTGCAAAAAAAATAAAAAAATAAGACAGTGTCTTATTTTCGGGGAAACACGGTACATAAAATTGTTTTTCAAGCAATAAAATGACTTACCTTTCTTGCTGCAATATGAACCTGCTGTTCATAAATATCTAGGTTTTTGGACATAAATTCCACAGCAGATTTTCGGTCACAAAGGGCTGTAGAGTTGGGATTCAGTATAGAATGGTGTTCGTACACTGCAGCCACATAATATTCTATTCCAAGGCCAACCCGGGCCATGAAACAGCAGAAGAATACTTGAACAATCAGTCTGAGGCTTACTGCGGCCATCTTCGTACGATCTGTAAAAAACCAAGAACAACAAAATAACCATTAGACACATTGCTTACACATAATACAGATATACAGTCTGCTGCAGTCAATGTTGGCTTTAAGTTTCAGGGTAGCTTTCTCCGTTGGGTTCATTTTAAAGTAAGCAATTACTGTAGTTGCCAGAATGCTGATCTTCTAAATGGGTCCAAATGTGAGCCGCATATGCGCTATATGCATATCTTAAAGAAAGCGATGTGCCTAGAGTGAAATATGTCAGATAGGAGCTCGTTCCTGCTGGCTGTTTAACTAAAGAGAGATATGCTGTGCGGTGTTCCTGGGACAGCACCTGACATGTTGCTGTGGGGAGTGGAGCCTGGACGGCATGTGGTATGTCCATTTTACTTCCTGTATCCTTCTTTTACAATAAGTAGTGGAGGATATAAGATGAAAATGTAAGTTTCTATAGGACATTATAAAATAGAAGGAATTACAATATTACCACAAAGCAAGGTCCAAACTTTCTATGTTAGAATAAAAGTTGCCTCAGAAAATGGTTCATTTCCTCAAAGAAGGTTTTAATGATTATGACCCACATCATCTTTCTCTCTTGAGAAAGACGTGAAGCAGCCTTCTATGTCATTTCCCTTACTGAATGTACTCTGTAATCATTCGCTATTATCTATAAAATGTCAAAATGGTCTAGAGAAGGTTAGCCATCAATGTACAGTACACTTCAATCTCCATCTGGTGAATTTATAGTGGGTATTACAGTATTTTACTCTTTTAAGACTGAACAGCTGCTCTTGTCCCTGCTTAGCTCACAGACCTATCTATTAGGGATGCACAGATACTTTTCGAGTACCAGTGCAGATACTTGGCATTTTCATGACAACTACCAGGGTTGCAGCGGTTGCAGCTGGGACCTGGCTCTGGCACTCCACCACTGTCCTGAAATCATTAGTCTTTATTGATTTAGAAAAACGGTCACATGACAATAAACAAAAATGTATCAGTACTCGTACTTGTAAGTACTCGGCAAGTACCAGTACTCGTACCCACAAAACTGGTATCTGTGCATCACTTTATTTATAAAAACAAAATTGTACATTAAAACAGAGATGTACAAATCCCAGGAGCTCCGTGTGCTCCTTACAAATGACAGCTGCCTCCTAATTTTTCTCTAGTCTAGTCTTGGAGCTCAAAAGTATCGGTACATGTACTCACTTCTAAATGGGTCCAAATGTGAGCCGCATATGCGCTATATGCATATCTTAAAGAAAGCGATGTGCCTAGAGTGAAATATGTCAGATAGGAGCTCGTTCCTGCTGGCTGTTTAACTAAAGAGAGATATGCTGTGCGGTGTTCCTGGGACAGCACCTGACATGTTGCTGTGGGGAGTGGAGCCTGGACGGCATGTGGTATGTCCATTTTACTTCCTGTATCCTTCTTTTACAATAAGTAGTGGAGGATATAAGATGAAAATGTAAGTTTCTATAGGACATTATAAAATAGAAGGAATTACAATATTACCACAAAGCAAGGTCCAAACTTTCTATGTTAGAATAAAAGTTGCCTCAGAAAATGGTTCATTTCCTCAAAGAAGGTTTTAATGATTATGACCCACATCATCTTTCTCTCTTGAGAAAGACGTGAAGCAGCCTTCTATGTCATTTCCCTTACTGAATGTACTCTGTAATCATTCGCTATTATCTATAAAATGTCAAAATGGTCTAGAGAAGGTTAGCCATCAATGTACAGTACACTTCAATCTCCATCTGGTGAATTTATAGTGGGTATTACAGTATTTTACTCTTTTAAGACTGAACAGCTGCTCTTGTCCCTGCTTAGCTCACAGACCTATCTATTAGGGATGCACAGATACTTTTCGAGTACCAGTGCAGATACTTGGCATTTTCATGACAACTACCAGGGTTGCAGCGGTTGCAGCTGGGACCTGGCTCTGGCACTCCACCACTGTCCTGAAATCATTAGTCTTTATTGATTTAGAAAAACGGTCACATGACAATAAACAAAAATGTATCAGTACTCGTACTTGTAAGTACTCGGCAAGTACCAGTACTCGTACCCACAAAACTGGTATCTGTGCATCACTTTATTTATAAAAACAAAATTGTACATTAAAACAGAGATGTACAAATCCCAGGAGCTCCGTGTGCTCCTTACAAATGACAGCTGCCTCCTAATTTTTCTCTAGTCTAGTCTTGGAGCTCAAAAGTATCGGTACATGTACTCGTACCGAGTACTGTACTTGGTATCTGTGCAACCCTACATACCAAATAATAATTGTGTTTGTGTTCTAAAGAGAGCACTGTCTTAATCCAGTAAGAAACTGTTGCTGCGTAAGCGAAAAAGTATCCTCTGACAGAGTATAATATTGGGGGTACAGTGTTGGCCAGAATTAGAGGAAAAAGGTTTGAGGATCGGTTCACACCACAAAGTCCACGGTCCAGTGTGTTTCGGCCTCTGGAATGCACTGGAAGGAAAGCGGGCCAACTCCCTGCGTTCAGGGGCAGGAGGGGGCGTAGCGGTGCCTTGAAATCAATGGCACCGCAGCCACGCCCCCCCCCCACCCGAAACACAGGCACATTAGTGCTTGCATTCTGGTCCAGTGCGATCTGCAAAAATAGTGCTTGCAGGATTTTTGCAGAACGCACTGGACCGGAACGCTGGCACTAATGTGCCTGCGTTCCGGGTGCAGGTGATCGCACTGCGGGCGGGGAGCGTGGCTATGGTGCAATTGACTTCAATGCACCGCCACGCCCCTCCCGCCCCTGAATGCAGGGAGGAGGCCGGCGTGCGTTGCAGGGGCTAATATTGGCTATTGCAATTTGAAATAGCCAATAGCAGTCTGGCTATTGTTCCCGGCTGCTTACATTCACCTGTCGGCTGCGGAACCCCCCGCAGAGGGGTTGCTTGAGTTACTTTTAACTCTCAAGCAAACAGAAAATACAGTTATACGGCACCTACTGATCCCCGTGGGTGCCCATTAGCTGTAAGTTTACTGTATTTACAGTCTTGAGGAAAGGGGGATATGACAAACCTTTAAGTACATTAAGTACCCTATTAATAAAAATTTATCTTATTTGTGTATCACTCAGCTGTAGATCCTCAAATCATCTCTTAATTGGTGCCGACACTTTCCTTCCTTCTGGAGGGTGGTTACTTTCTTCCCCTGTGTGTTGTAAAGTACCCACCGCTCCAAACTTTTTCCCGTGATGGACTACAATCTCACGTTTACTTTATTAATTTGAATTGAGATTGTGGTCTATCGCAGGTGCGAACTTGCAGCAGTAGTTACATTACAACACCAAAACTTTACAAATGACGCTCTGCGTCATCAGCTCCTCCTCACACAATTTACGTCACAATGACTTCATCAGGGGGAGGAGGACACTTTTTTTTAGGATAGAGTAAGGAGTGGTTATGCTTTCCTTTTGCTGTCCATTTCCTGCTGAGGAAAATTTTACGGTCTACATGCTCTTTTTCTTATTTTTTTGTTTAGGCTAGTGAGTAGGATCCAGGTTTACTAAAGGGAGGATTTTTAAAAGGTAACCAGCAGAATCTTCATTAGAGGTAAATGATAGACTTCAGCTTCAAATGCAGACCTATGTAGGGTAGTTTAGCCACTACAATGACTCTGTCTTGGTGCCTAACAACTACTGAGATAAGATATAAACCACACAGGAGTTGGCTGGCTAGTAGAATTGTATTAGGAGAATGAGTAGTAAAGCATTACACACTTCTCCACACTAATATATAACTCACCACGGTAAATAGTAGAACTGAAGACCCAGAAAGAGTTAAACTTGTCCTAATCCATTCAGACCTCATACATCTGCTTTATAGATAGACTCTGATTGTTGGGTCATGTTCTAAGTATGTCATCTTAAGGACAGAGGTAAGTGGGAAGACCAAGAATTAAATAGCTGGAAAATGTTAAAGCCAAACTCTAGAACATGATATGAAAGAGTTTTAAAATCCATTAGCAATAGAAACCTCTATACAACTCCACTGTGGGGAACAGATGTCTGGTTTGGGCTTTAATGAGTGAAAGACAGACATTAAAAGAGAACTATGGGGTAAGTGTTTTTCCTCATAGTTCTCCTCAGGGTCACTGGAGGACATATGCCAGCATCCTCCCGTGACCCAAAGCTCAGTATATAGCGAGCTACAGCTCATGGTATACTGAGACCACCGTAGCCGGGACAGAGCCTGACATTACTGTCCAGATCCACCCAGCTGTGTGAGTGACAGCTGTACCCGCCCCCCTCCCCCGTCCGTTCCGCCAGTCAGCGCTGAAGGATCGGAGTGAGGAGGGGGGGGGGGGAATCTCTGCAGGGAGCCGTGAGTGACAGTCACCGCTCTCTGTAGGGAGATGATCGAGAAGCAAGCGACGGTATGCGTTCGCTCACTTCCCGATCTATTGAGTCGATGTGTGACAGTTTAATTGTCACACGTCGGCTCGAACTATGAGGCTGAGTTATTTTCACTCACCTCATAGTTCTCCTTTAAAGAAAGAAAGCAGACTATAGATTAGAATGGGGGTAAACTCCAGTCAAAACTAAAAATTAAACCTTACAAAGCATAGAGAGCATTGAGTCCCTGCTCAGCAATTACGTTTTTCACCCAGGATTTGCTGTAGAGTAGGAGTCCACCCCACTCCCATTTGTTGGTTATTTGAGGACCCCAGCTTGTGCTGCTAAAGAGCCATTCCCAATCACACCCATTGCAGATTGCTTGCCGACTTAAATTGGACGTTTGAATTCTATTATTGATACAGAAAGAAGAGAAAGAAAGAATGTTAAACAGCTCAAGCTTCAGTAAGTAGATCAGCCATAGACCTGTCCAGTGTTCTCTGCATTCTGTCTGCAAAGGATTACGCTAAAATCAGATTAAAGTCAATTGACTTAAGCATGATGGAGCTCTCCAAGGGCTGTAGTGTAAAACTGGCCATACATTGTTATATTTTTCTTTTGTATAACCT